ATAATAACTTCTCAACCTCTTCCAGTACTGGTGATCTCATTTTTGTCAGCATAGTTACTCCCTTTGCAACAACAGCATCCTTTATTTCATTTTTCTTGGCCACTATGGGACATAAGGTTGTGTAGGGTTTCTTATACATCCTGGACAGTTCGGCCACACTTGTACCACTTTATATTGTTCAATGATGGTTTTCTTAAATTCAATCGTATTTCTCACCTTTACCACAGGCTTGGCACTAGGAGCTTTCTTTGGAGCCATGGTAGCTTATTTAGTACTTGCAAGCACTAAAATAAATGGAATATTATGAAATATTTCGCTGGAGCACGTGAGGGGACCTTCGCTCACTGGTAAACAATGCCAGACTGGCTGCCGCCCTGGCTCACGCCGTGGGTACGCGCCCCGGACGAACTACGACTCGCGAGTCAACCTATGAAAAGCGAGTCCATGTTTATACGAAAATACCTCTATGATTGGTGAATTTTACGATTGCCGGGAACTACGAAAAGCGGGGGACCACTGTATATACTTCTAAACTGTTGTATTCTGAGCACCTCTGCAAAAACAGTGATTATGTGTGAGTGAGGTGAAAGTGTTGAATGATGATGAAAGTATTTTCTTTTGGGGGATTTTCTTTCTTTTTGGGTCACCCTGCCACGGTGGGAGACGACCGACTTGTTAAAAAAAAAAAAAATTCACATGGGAAATATTGCTTCAATTTTCCTACAATTCGATTTTTGTCAGACTTTTTCAAATGGATTGATCAAGAAAACCGAGGTTCCACTGTATATGCAAGTGCATGGCCTCTGATACTGTAATGATCAAGTTTGTGGAGTAGGATGTTGTGGTCTACTGTATCAAAAGCTTTCATTAGGTCAGTAGAGAGTCCTAGTGGATATACATTATTTTCGAGTGCTATATAAAGTAGGTCTGGCATTTTTATAATTGATGATGGCATGGGTTGAGAATGCTTTGTGTTGTTATAAAGGATAGTAAAGGCAAGTTTGATATTGGTCTGTAGTTGTTTACATCTGTTGGGTCTCCACCTCTGTGTATTGGTGTAACTCTTGCTATCTTGAGTTATGTCAGGAAAGTGCTGGTTTCTAGTGATTTATTAAATAGTAATATAATGGTGGGTGAGAGGACATGAGCCGCTTGTTTGAACAATATTGGTGGGATGTCAGCTAGATTTCCTGCTTCGTGTTATAGTGAATTAGTAATCATGATAACTTGAGTGGGCTGAGTTGAGCAAGATAGAGGATATGGGAAGTTTCCATTTAAGTAATCACTTGCTCGGGTATTGGTGCCTGGAATATTACTGGCGAGATTTGATCCTATGGTTGAGAAGAAGTTAACTGTTTCAGCCGGCTGGAGTTGTGGTTTGTTTGGTTTAGTTAGGACAATATCTCTATAGTTTTGTTCAGCTTGTGGTACCCAGGATCTGAGTGTCTTCCAGGTCTTGTTTTATACCTGATCTTGTTTCAGTGAATCTGTTAGAATAGTACAGTTTGGACTTTATTAGTTTGGTGAGGACTGACGTGTAGTGTTTACTAAGTTCTTTAGTTATGAAGTCCCATCTATATTGTTTTTCATATTAATGTTTCTTATCAATGAATCTTAGAATGCTGTTAGTGAGCCACAGGTAACCTAGTCATTTATTAGTGATCTGTTAATTTTTTATGGGACAATGTTTGTTGTACAGTCTATGTATTTTGTTTAGAAATATGTCTGTCCATTTGTTGATACCATTGTCATTGTAATATTGTGAAGGTCAGTCAACTGAGCTTAGTTCTGCAGCAAAGTTGCTTCTTAATGCCTCATCATGGAGTTGACAAGAGATCTTACTATATTCCATTGATTGCTTAGAAATGTTTGTTAGGAGGAAAGTTGGGTGGTGGTCAGTAGTATTGTCTGTGATTATCCCAGATTTAAGGGGAGCTACTATATTTGTCCATATATGGCCAATTATTCTCCATGGGGAAGTGGAACAGAATTCTTCCTCCGTAAGCCATACGTGTTGTAAGAGGCGACTAAAATGCCGGGAGCAAGGGGCTAGTAACCCCTTCTCCTGTATAAATTACTAAATTTGAAAAGAGAAACTTTTGTTTTTCTTTTTGGGCCACCCTTCTTTGGTGGGATATTGCCAGTTTGTTGAAAGAATGAAAGATGGTCAGTTATGGTTGCACTCGTCTCAGCCTGGTTGGTTTTGTTATAGCTGGTATGAGTAGTGTGTTGTTCGTATTGTTGATGAGATCAGTTACTGGCTGGTTGTCTGCTAGACCAAGGTTAATGTAAGTGTGTTGTTCATATTGTTGATGAGATCAGTTGCTGGCTGGTTGTCTGCTAGACCAAGGTTAATGTAGTGTGTTGTTCATATTGTTGATGAGATCAGTTGCTGGCTGGTTGTCTGCTAGACCAAGGTTAATGTAGTGTGTTGTTCGTATTGTTGATGAGATCAGTTGCTGGCTGGTTGTCTGCTAGACCAAGGTTAATGTAGTGTGTTGTTCATATTGTTGATGAGATCAGTTACTGGCTGGTTGTCTGCTAGACCAAGGTTAATGTAGTGTGTTGTTCATATTGTTGATGAGATCAGTTGCTGGCTGGTTGTCTGCTAGACCAAGGTTAATGTAGTGTGTTGTTCGTATTGTTGATGAGATCGTTGCTGGCTGGTTGTCTGCTAGACCAAGGTTAATGTAGTGTGTTGTTCATATTGTTGATGAGATCAGTTGCTGCTGGTTGTCTGCTAGACCAAGGTTAATGTAGTGTGTTGTTCGTATTGTTGATGAGATCAGTTGCTGGCTGGTTGTCTGCTAGACCAAGGTTAATGTAGTGTGTTGTTCATATTGTTGATGAGATCAGTTGCTGGCTGGTTGTCTGCTAGACCAAGGTTAATGTATGTGTTGTTCATATTGTTGATGAGATCAGTTGCTGGCTGGTTGTCTGCTAGACCAAGGTTAATGTTGAAGTTTACAGCTAGTAGTAGGTGGTGCTTGTTCATTTGATTGTTATTAGTGTCTTTAGGCAGGACAGGCAGGTCCTTGAACCATGACAAGCAGGCAGGTTCTTGAACTCTGACAAGCAGGCAGGTTCTTGAACTCTGACAAGCAGGCAGGTTCTTGAACCATGACAGGCAGGCAGGTCCTTGAACCATGACAGGCAGGCAGGTCCTTGAACCATGACAGGCAGGCAGGTCCTTGAACCATGACAGGCAGGCAGGTCCTTGAACCATGACAGGCAGGCAGGTCCTTGAACCATGACAGGCAGGCAGGTCCTTGAACCATGACAGGCAGGCAGGTCCTTGAACCATGACAGGCAGGCAGGTCCTTGAACCATGACAGGCAGGCAGGTCCTTGAACCATGACAGGCAGGCAGGTCCTTGAACCATGACAGGCAGGCAGGTTCCTGCATCATGACAGGCAGGTTCTTGAACCCATTTTGTGATTTGATTGTTGTCTATATTTTTTTCTTACAAATACCTATGTTAGTGGGTTTAGAAAGACACGTAAGCAAACACGATCTTTTTTCTTCTTTTAACGTACCAGCCGTGTCCCACCGAGGTGGGGTGGCCCAAAAGGAAAAACGAAAGTTTCTCCTTTCAAATTTAGTAATATATACAGGAGAAAGGGTTACTAGCCCCGTACTCCCGGCATTTTAGTTGCCTCTTATGACACGCATGGCTTAGAGGAAGAATTCTGGTCCACTTCCCCATGGAGAAAACACGATCTTATACACTTTTATATACACCAAAACACCCGCACTAAAAGAGGAGTCCTCATTGGTTTCTTCTTGAGAGCTCTTCGCATCTCCAGCCCTTGTTTTCTTGAAGAATTTATTTACATAACACAAGCCTTTACACATTTTCAGTTCTCATCTTTCTTCATCCGAGATTGCAGACTCAAGACACAAACTATCCTCAACAAACCGCCCATGGAACAGCCCTCTAAGCAGTTCATAGTGCTCCCATGTGGTGATGTTACCACGAATACTCGCCGGGCACTTGCTATGAGTAACATCAACGTTTCCACCATAAACACATCATCTATCAAAGACCTCACTACGAAATGCAGCCCCACACATCTAACTTCTACAGCAGACGTCTACACTATCCCCTGTGGATTCTGTCCCAAGAAATATGTAGGCGAGAGAGGCTAAGATCTTGCGGCCTGCCTGAACGAGCATTGAAATGCCTGTAACAGAGACGATTTAAGGCACGCCTGTGTCCTCCAGAGAGACTCCACGGGGCATTTGATGAAATGGAATGAGGCACAACTCGTTCTCATCGAACCAGACCTCGTATGCTGAGGGTGCCTAGAAGCCTCACTAATTGCTGTCACCGACACAATAGAACGTAACACTGGAAACCACAAAATTTCAAAAACATTAGCACACATGATACTTAAGCACCACCATGCCAACAACACTGGAGTCACATGATTTCATCGTCTACCCGTCCTCATCCCAACATGGCATTCTTCAGGTCACCATGCATCACTCACACCTCACTCTCCGCCTATATATAATGTCTTTCTACCTCTGTATGTTAGAAGTGATCAAGGCCCCAGGACCGAAACGTTTTCTAATAAATATGTCAAGTGTTTGCTTACGTGTCTTTCTAAACCAACTTGTCGGTATTTATTACCAAGGTTTATACCACCAATGTTAGTGTTTAGGTAGGCCTACTTTTATTGAAAATACTGAGAATTTGCATATTTACCTAATTTAAGATCAATTTAGAAGAGGCAAGAATGGTTAGTTTCCTCAGTGATGGAACAACCAGTGTTGAGACAGGAAGATGGGTGACACGAGTTGATACCAGAATTCCCACACTTCCAGCACCTATACCGATGGATTTTCAGCCTAGTTTTATTGAAAATACTGTGAATTTATTTTTACATAATTTAAAATCAATTTAAAAGTATTTAGAAAGGCCTAATTTTATTGAAAATGATGAGAATTTGTGTTTGTAGACACTTATAGATCAGTTTTAGGATCAGTGATCCACATTAACTGCCCTTCTTCAACAGCTGGATGATGGTCGGACGCTGAAGAAGTCGTCATCATGCTCGACCATCTACCTGGATGACTCGACCGTGTCGCAGCCCAACCTCAAGAACACTATCAAGTGTGTGGCACTCGCTGTGTACTACCACATCCGCAACCGTGGCGACAACCGTGTCTTGGATATCTTTGATGAGAAGCTCCATCCCCTGACGGTGAGTTGCCGGTGTTGACGGTGAGTTGCGCTCTCACATTAAATAAATAAAATGCTAAAATGGTAAAATTTATAAGAAAAGATAGGAAGTACATGTTGCTACTTGTACTTACACTACGGTCTCCTGCTTGATGTGAGCAGCATAGGTCTATGCTCCTCTGTTTTGCATTTAACTGAGGCATCCTAACAACCCTGTGATGGCCTAGCAAAGATATACATAACACTAACATATGTGGAGACCCAGAATGATGTTAATCAACTACAGAAACCAACCAAACATATGCTATATTACCAACCCACCATCAACCCCACTGCCACACCAAACATACACTATATTACCAACCAAGAAGACTGCGTGTTGTCATCCCACCATTGACCCCGCTGCCACAGCAAGTCATACTTCCCAACCTTTACTATTACTTGTACACAAACGAAACGTTTGAAGCTACTAGTCAGGGGTCAGGGCAACAAAGGAAGATCCATATACCCACTAATATCCATGATCAGTGTTATGCAACCTCATTCTGCAATTCTAACTCCATTGTGTTATACAGCCTCTCCTCACTTAGTGACACACACTTTTACTGACGACTTGGACTTACGACGGGTTCTCTGACTGGTATGCATACCTAAATAATGTATATTAGAGCTGATTTCTTCTATTCTGTTAATTACAATATACAGTACACTACTGTATAAACATTTAAAAATATACCAGAAATGTTATAAATGGTGCAAAGGTGACATTAAGACAATATCAAAGATGGTTGACACAAACCCACTACCATTATAGTATGCTCCTCACTTAGTGACGAATTTGTTTACCAATGTTTTCTTAGGAACGCAACTCCGTTGTTAAGTGAGGAGAGGCTGTACTTTCAGAATTCTGTTATTGTCCAAATACTATTTATTTGTCTTGTATATTTGTGAAGTGTTAGCATTATTGCTAAGTAAAGTGATATTAGCAAACAGTTCAAGATAAGTTTATATTCAGTATCTTTCATCTTAACCTAACATTATACAATGGAACCTCTACGTACCAGCGCACCCACGTGCAAGTTTATATTCAGTATCTTTCATCTTAACCTAACGATGTACAGTGGAACCTCTACGTACCAGCGCACCCACGTGCAAGTTTTTCCAGATACCAGCAGTCGCTCGGTCAGCTTTTTGCCTCCAGACGCGAGCGAAATTTCCAGATGCAAGCGGGCCTCAAGGAAGGTTCCTTGACGCTGGTGAGGGGTTTTTGCTCTTGATCTAGGAAATTGGATCTCAGTTGTTTGTTGGACTATCTTATTGAAACTTGGGCAATGTATAATGGAAAGATGCTTCTTAACATATACCAAAATTGAAAGAAATCAGACCATAAATAACGGAGTTCACTTCTCAGCCATTAGTCGTCCCTTAGCGGTATATATTTGTATGGTTATATTCTCGTTTTTTTGGTCTCATTTGATAGAATGGAAGATATATTACAGAAATAGATATGATTTTGATTTCATGACAAAAAGTACCTTGAAATTGAGCTCAAAGTAGCAGAAATGTTTGATTTTTTCCGATGTTCAAGAGTAAACAATACTTGTCTGAGCGGCCATTCCAAATACACAGTCATAAGTGGGTTAACATTATTTATACAATTATTACAATAATGCAGTAGTCTGCATAACAGTAAATTTTCTATTTTTTGTGTGAATAAAATTTCCAAATGGTAATCAAAAGTAATATTATAATAATAATAATAATATAATAATTATATAATATAAATTATTATAATATGTACGTATTAATAATAATAAATGGCCACTGTGCCGCCGCTTCCACTACTCAAATATGTAATGACGTATTTCATTCATTCTAGTGTATATATCGTGTTTCTATGTTTATTAATATTGTTTACTATGTCATATTAGATGAATTGTGATAGATAGCTAAGCCGTAGAGTTGATATTAGGGAAATATTAAAGTATTTTGTCGTGCCTGGGATGGATTAATTCGATTTCAATTAATTTAAATGAGGAAAATTAACTCTACAAACGAACAAATCCAGATGCGAGCAAGGTCACGAAACGGATTAAACTCGTGACTAGAGGTTCCACTGTGCTGTCTAGTAAATTTATTTTTCTTTCAGCTCGACAGTTTATAGACTATCCCCCTGACTATCCCCCTGTTATTGCTAGATAATACTAGCCACTTTGTACTGTCTCCATAGTAACCTACTGTAAACAAACCTTTACCTCAGTTTTATTTTTTTAAGGAGTGAGGAAGAGCCAGTTGTGAGTGTGGGGGAGGTGTGTGAGGCTGTGTGAGCATGGAGGAGGTGCATGAGGCTGTGTGAGTGTGGAGGAGGTGCATGAGGCTGTGTGAGTGTGGGGGAGGTGCATGAGGCTGTGTGAGTGTGGAGGAGGTGCATGAGGCTGTGTGAGTGTGGGGGAGGTGTGTGAGGCTGTGTGAGCATGGAGGAGGTGCATGAGGCTGTGTGAGTGTGGGGGAGGTGCATGAGGCTGTGTGAGTGTGGAGGAGGTAGATGAGGCTGTGTGAGTGTGGAGGAGGTGCATGAGGCTGTGTGAGTGTGGAGGTGGATGAGGCTGTGTGTGAGCGGGGAAGGTGCATGAGGCTGTGTTGAGTGTGGGGGAGGTGCATGAGGCTGTGTGAGTGTGGAGGAGGTGCATGAGGCTGTGTGAGTGTGGGGGAGGTGCATGAGGCTGTGTGAGTGTGGAGGTGGATGAGGCTGTGTGAGTGTGGAAGGTGCATGAGGCTGTGTGAGTGTGGGGGAGGTGCATGAGGCTGTGAGAGTGTGGAGGAGGTGCATGAGGCTGTGTGAGTGTGGAGAGGTGCATGAGGCTATGTGAGTGTGGAAGAGGTGGATGAGGCTGTGTGAGTGTGGAGGAGGTGCATGAGGCTGTGTGAGTGTGGGGGGGTGCATGAGGCGTGTGGTGGGGAGGTGGATGAGGCTGTGTGAGTGGGGAAGTGCATGAGGCTGTGTGAGTGTGGGGGAGGTGCATGGGCTGTGTGAGTGTGGAGAAGGTGCATGAGGCTGTGGTGAGTGTGGGGGAGGTGCATGAGGCTATGTGAGTGTGGAGGAGGTGGATGAGGCTGTGTGAGTGTGGGGGAGGTGGTGAGGCTGTGTGAGTGTGGGGAGGTGCATGAGTTGTGTGTGGGAGAGGTGCCTGAGGCTGTGTGAGTGTGGGGGAGGTGCAAAAGGGCTGTGAAGTGTGGGGGGGGGTTTGTGGGCTGTGTGAGTGTGGGGGAGGTGTGTGAGGCAGTGTGGGGGAGGTGTTGAGGCAGTGTGAGTGTGGGGAGGTGGGGTGAGGCAGTGTGAGTGTGGGGGAGGTGTGTGAGGCAGTGGGTAGAAAAAAGGGGGGGTTTAAAGCAGCTGGGATTGAGGATGAAGATAGAAATATTTTTAAGCAGGTGGTTTACCTGGAGTTTACCTGGAGAGAGTTCCGGGGGTCAACGCCCCCGCGGCCTGGTCTGTGACCAGGCCGCCTGGGGATCAGAGCCTGATCAACCAGGTTGTTACTGCGGGCTGCATGCAAACCAACGTACGAGCCACACCCGGGCTGGTCAGGACCGACTTTTAGGTGCTTGTCAGTGCCAGCTTGAAGACTGCCAGGGGTCTTTTGGGTTTAATTCCCCTTATGTATGCGGGGAGGCAGTTGAACAGTCTCGGCCCTGACACTTATGTATGGTCTCTTAACGTGCTAGTGACACCCTGCTTTTCATTGGGGGATGTGCATCGTCTGCAAGTCTTTTGCTTTCGTAGTGAGTAAATTTTTGTGTGCAATTTTCGGTACAAAGTCCTCTAGGATTTCCAGGTAATATAATGTGTATCTCTCCCACCTACGTTCCAGGGAATACAGGTTCAGGAAACCCCAAGCGCTCCCCGTAATTTAGGGTGTTTTATCTCCGTTATGCGTGCCGTGAAGGTTCTCTGTACATTTTTTAGGTCAGCAATTTCACCTGCCCTTTAAAGGTGCTGTTATGTGCAGCAATTATTCCAGCCTAGATAGAACAAGTGACTTGAAGAGTGTCATCATGGGGTTGGCAAACCCTAGTTTGAAGGTTCTCATTATCCATCCTGTCATTTTTCTAGCAGATGCAATTGATACAGTGTTATGGTCCTTGAAGGTGAGATCCTCCGACATGATCACTCCAGGTCTTTGACGTTGGTGTTTCGCTCTATTTTGTGGCCGAATTTGTTTTGTACTCTGATGAAGATTTAATTTCCTCGTGTTTACCATATCTGAGTAATTGAAATTTCTCATTGTTGAACTTCATATTGTTTTCTGCAGCCCACTGAAAGATTTTTGGGTTTATTTTCCGCCTGGAGCCTTGCAATGTCTGCAATGGAAGCACTGTCATGCAGATTCGGGTGTCATTTGCAAAGGAAGGCACGGGGCTGTGGCTGACATCCTTGTCTATGTCAGATATGGATGAGGAACAAGATGGGAGCGAGGGACTGTGCCCTTTTGGAACAGAGCTTTTCACCGTAGCTGCCTCGGGCTTTACTCTGTTGACTACTACTCTCTGTTCTGTTAGTGAGGAAATTATAGATCCATCGACCGACTTTTCCTGGTATTCCTTTAGCACGCATTTTGTGTGCTATTACGCCATGGTCACATTTGTTGAAGCTTTTGCAAAGTCTGTATATATTACATCTGCATTCTTTTGTCTTCTAGTGCATCTAGGACCTTGTCGTAATGATCCAATAGTTGAGACAGACAGGAGCGACCTGTTTTAAACCATGTTGCCCTGGGTTGTATAACTGATGGGTTTCTAGATGGGGGGTTTGATTCTTGCTTCTTAGGACCCTTTAAAAGATTTTATGATATGGGATGTTAGTGCTTTTGGGTCTGTAGTTCTTTGCTGTTGCTTTACTGCCCCCTTTGTGGAGTGGGGCTATGTCTGGTGGGGATATAGTTTTGGAGTGGTTGGTGCTTTTATTTAATAAATGTATGGAAGAGGGTAAGGTACCTAGGGATTGGCAGAGAGCATGCATAG